CTTTTTCTGCTCCTTTAAATCCATGGGAAAATGTGCCTCTCCCCCCCCCCCTTTTCTGTTGTCCCAGGGACACTGCCAGACTAGTTTAAACTGGCTGCTTTGTCCCTCCTCAAACTCCCATCAGCCCTTGCTATTTTCTGACCCCACCCTTCCTTTTACTATAGGGCACTTTTAACATTGGTCATATTGAGCGCTCAGATCCAAGCTATCTGAGGATATGTTGAAAATATAGGTCTAACATTGTATTATAAGAGTTATATATTTTTATGTGGTTTTTGTACTTTTGAGAGATATTTCCTGGACCTGGAGATAATTTGCTTACCACCACCTTTTAAGCCAATTATCTCCAGGATAGAGGAGAAGATAGACCGGCCGCACAGCCTAAGTCTGTGGAACTATTTTGGGCATGAAAGCCATGCTTGCAGTCGGTCAAATGTGACTTCCATAAAACTTTTGAACCCCTGCTCTGATCTGGGTGATTTTTGGATATGTTGTTCACCCAGATCAGGGCTACCCAGGGATGTAGGATTTGTGGGGATATGTTGTTGTTGTGGGGTGTTTCTGGACTTTGGGTAAAACTGAATATTTTCTGTCTGTGGTAATTGAGTTAGTCCATTGTGTTTGTTAATTGTATCACAGGCAGAGTGGAGGGTTTGTGTACAGTATCTGGAAGTGTCTAATTATACAACATGGTTTTGATTAGCTTTTGTGACTGTGTCCTGTGCTCCACAAGGTCCACTTGGGTGGTAACCTTGTGGGGAAAACTGTATATAAGAAATGCCTTTGTGCTCATTAAACCAGTTCTGCTTCACCCTCAATTTAGTGTCCTGTCTCTTATTGGAGGAAACAGTTACAAGGGATTGCAATGCTCTTCATACTCCCTTGGATAATTGTGGCAAACCTAGCCACTTGGACATTATTTCTGTACTGTCTCTTTAAGGGTTGCCGGTATGGGTTTCATGTTATGTGTTCCAGCGTGTAATATAATGTAATAGTAATGCTGTATTTCCTGCCTGGGCTATCTGCCGAAAGCAGATAGCTGATTCCCTTTCGTTTCACGAACGGCACCTTTGCGGGCCGTTTGGGAACCGAACAAAACATCAGTTAATAGCCCACACACTTAGAGGCGTGTGGCGCCTATTAATCGATTGCAACAATGTTGCAATCGGTAATTAGAGGCTCTCCAAGGTGGCTGTCGTTCGACTACCGACCATGCGGCGGTCGGCCATCTTGGATCCTTTGTTCCCTCAGCGGTGTTTGGCCATCGAGCGCATGGTACTAAAAACGGCTACTCGACGGCACGAACACCGTTGAGCTTCCAGGCCGTTCGGGAGGTATTCTGTTCCCTTATATGCAATCGGTATTTTGAAGATATGTTTTAATGAATGTGTTTTTCGTGCGGCGTTCGGTTGTTTTAGCTGGGATCTGAGCGGTAATCTCACGAATGATGCGCTCAGACCCCAGCTATCTACCGAATGTCCATTCGTTTAAATGGACCAAATATTCATGAAGTTATGGAATTTAATGCGAATTGTAAGTTCTGCTGCACGGAGGGATAATCCACTTAACGGTATATTCCTGT